TTTTCATCACAGTTTGACCCTTAAACACCTTGTCCACTGACCATTAACACTATTCAACAGATTCGTCTTGAAGTTATTTTATCTCACAAGATGACAGGAGAATCATATGTATGTATACGGGTCATGGATCACATTCTTCGTTCGGTTGGTTAATTCTCCAGGAGGAGGGGATGTGTAGAAAGAAAAGCATACAAAAATGTTGTATCATAATAGCCATAATCAAATAATTCTTTGTGTTTTATGTTAATTTTAACAGTCATCTGCATTTTTTTGTCATATTTTCCTAACCACCATCTGTTTCAGGTGGTTAATCAGGTACACAGAGGTTTAATTTCCTTCATGACATGTGTCAAAAAAATTATGTGTATATACAGAAAGACGTGATTGGCTCATACTACACACATACACACATACAACTACTTTTATCTATCCACATGTTCATCAGGATTTTGGTATCTTCCCTACTCTTCAAGACAAAGGCAAGCGGACATATGAAGCCCACAAGGTTATCACAAATATCCACCTACAAACACATACAAACAAGTAAACAAAGCAGAGACTTAGAATAGAGATGACGATAAAATATTGGGAAATGACATGTCTACCTGGATTGTATACAGGGCACGTGATTCAGTGTGAATAAAGAGAGAAAACAAGAAAAGAGAGTTGACAGTGGAATAAAGGATGTGCGTTTCGTTATATTTGGGACTCGTCAGCTGAATGTATCTGCATTCCACTGTAGAATGATGTTGTTCGCACTGCGAATCGAATCCATTGCCCATCGCTTCGAACACCAAAGCGTTATCGATCAGGCCACTTATTATGCAACGGGTATCAGTTGTTGTTATGATAGTTGTAATTTCCACGTTGTTATGCCGGGCCGAATTGATCGACTTCTATTGTTAGCAGATGGACTACTATGTGAGTGCCACGATACTGTTGGATATTCATGTCAGTGGCCATATACATCAACGGGGAATTATAACTATCATAACAACAAGTGATACCCGTTACACAAGAAGTGGCTATCGTTCCCCAGCGGCTTAGTAGATAACGCTCTGGTGTTTAAAGTGAAGGCTAATGAGTTCAAGCCTAAGTGGGAACAGCATCACTCCGCATTCCAGTGCACGTACGTTCAGCTGACGGGTCTCAAATAGGACGAAACGCTCATCCTGGATTCCTCTGCTAGTCACCAAGATTAATATAACATGATGAATATCCAGCAGTATCGAGGCTTTCGTATCTGCCAACAGTAGAGGTTGGGTGATTCGATCGTATATAGCAACGGGAAATTACAAGTATCATAACAACTGAGTTTGGTGTGTCCTTCGACTCTTTGCATATTCTGCACATGTTTGAATGGTGCTATATGGCGGGGAAAAGAGAGAGACAGATCGTTGGAATAACTGACTTAGATAATGGATGTTTATCATAACTATCGCTATGGATTACTGGCGATGGAAACACTTTATGGTGATGATATATCCGATACGTCAGCTTCAAAACACTCCATTTGACCCCGACAAATTGTTTCCATACCAAAGATTAGATGTCAACAGAAGTTTTCGCTGCCTTACTCAGTAAATGGATAAAAAGGAGTTGATGAACAGTAATTAAGAAAAAGTTGGATGCAGCGTCGTACCTGAATATTAAGTTTAGAATTGGAAAAAAAGTAAGCGTATAATGAATTCCTAAGGAAACATAAGCACAAAAAGTACTAACTGAAAAGTGATATTACTGAGATAAAGTGAATTTTTAACAGTTTTTAAGCGTTATCCATTACTAAAGCGAGTTCTTCGGTTCACAGTCGCCCACCTATCTGATTAGATTGAACTAGACGTATCGGCTGGTCATTGGCCAACAGATCATTTTGGAGTGTGCCTACCAATTTAGGTGTATTTTGATAGACGGTGGTTGGACGGAGGCAATCGGTGGGAAGTTATGCTTCTTTCACCTTCCTGGATATTGATATCACTTCACTTAATGATTAATGTACTTGAGAAAGGTGATAAATTAAATTTTTTTTCAAATAGCCAGTGCTTACTAAATGGTATAGTGCTGAATTCCCATACATTGAGTGAAGCAGAACAATTATTGTTATTAATTATTAACTTATCCCTTGACTGCCTAGTGGAACATAGAGCTTCAGTAGAACGTCACCATTTCACTATCCTCTCTACAGTATTCCGAACATGGCACCACCACGACTAACAAGCCTTCATTCATCCCTCACACGAACGCCTCCATTTCACCCTCCGCTCCAACACCCAACTCGTCATTTCCCCTTCGGCTTCCACTCGACAACCTGACCTGGCTTCGTCTGGCGTCACCTCGTCTGGTGCGTCATGTCCCCAAACCGTCTTCTCAGTCTATGTACAATCAAATCCATTCCATCTCCACTTTCTCATTCTGCATATTAGTTGGGTGACGGGTGCTTGGTTGGTTGGTTGGTTGGTTGGTTGGTTGTCAGTGAGTCAGTGAGTCAGTGAGTAAGTGAGTCAGTGAGTCAGTGAGTCAGCCGACCAGCCAGCCACCTGGCCAGCTGGTCAGCCACAATTCCTTGTCCCTTGTTCCTCCTTCCCTGTTGCTTATTCTTATTCTTATCACCATTCTGGTCATCCATCTGATCAATGTTCAGTATCGAGTGAGAGAGAGAGAGAGAGAGAGAGTAGGTGGAAGCTGTTCATCATGTATGTCAACAGTTTGTTGGGAATGCTTTCCGTATAGTGCCAAATCTCCCAACCATCACTCACACAGAAACACTGACTCACTTGACTGATATTAGTGTTGGAAATCCAGATGTTGTTGACACTTCTTGCTGAGTGTGGTGTGGTGTGGTGTGTAGTGTAGTGTAGTTTGGTGTGTAGTTGTGTGTAGTTTGGTGTGTAGTGTAGTGTAGTGTAGTGTAGTGTAGTGTAGTGTAGTGTAGTGTAGTGTAGTGTGGTGTAGTGTAGTGCAGTTCATCTCAACACACACTGGTCATTTGGGATTAATGAGGGAAGGTGTATGTTGCTGTCTTTCCGATCGTGGCTGGCTTTCACATCCTCATGTGTGCCACCGATGCCACCTGTAGTTGAGACGATGCTGCCTAGGTGGGTGGGTGGGTAGGTGGGAGAGACAACTTGCTTCAGATTTCTCCTATTGATGTCGATTGGTGTTTGTTGTTGTTGTTGTTGGTGGTAGTGGTGGTGGTTGTGGTTGTGGTTGTGGTAGGTTGGATATCTTCATCACCTCTGTCTTCTCTATGTTCACCTGAAGGGAATGCCGTCTTTCCTGTCTCTTATGACAACTTGTTGGTTTACAAGATCTGTAGATCTTCGAGCTTGTATGACAAGACATTAGACATAAATCATCATTAGCGAAATGCGATTCTTCTAGGGTATTTCCATCGGTTTGCTCAAACAACCTTCACCCATCCTCTAACAGCTCCTCACAGTTGTGTGTTGCATGATCCAGTTCAGTGTAGTCCAATGGTGTCCAGTCGATCACAGGCGGGAAGATGATTGTTGATAGTAGGCGGCCACCTCATCTTACTCCTGTCTCCACTTCACTTCACTTCACTTCACTTCGAAGGTATCACCACTGAGCTTTCCATTGTGAATCACTCGGTATGTGGCGTCGTCATATAGCATATAGTAAGTGTAGAATGATGTTGAATGGGATTTGTGATAGTAAAACTGTGGTGTAGATGCCAGTGGTTGCCAAATTGCTCCTTTGTCGATGCTGTTGAAGGCCTTATCAAAGTTGATTAAATTGAAGTGAAGATGCGGTTGACTGTCATTCTGTGTTCTGTTCTAGCATGGAGATTTATATTCTTCTTTTGGGTTCATCAGTGTTACACATCCGAAAATTCCTTAGAGTTCACGCCAAGCGTAAATACATGTCGTGGTAAACATGTTACGACCGAATCTGGTTCATATTTTCCTGCTTTCGTCACTGAGTGTTACAGTGTTATCGTTCAACTGTTCTAGTTAATAGAGTTCAGTTTTTAGTCACTGGCTATGAGGTTCTAGTCCAACTCCGCTAACCGAAGTTTTAAAAGTAGGGTAGAGTTGGCAATCCTTACAAGTTCAGTTTTGACACGATCGAGAATAGTTTCAGCTCAAGATGAGGATGAACACTGTCAAATAATCTTTTTCGAATGGTTCGTATTTGGTTGTGGTTGGTTGATTAAGTCACTAAGCCTATGAACAACTATGAAATAGAAATGATCATCAAACCATTTCCCCATGATAACACAATGTATGCATGAATCGATTACCTGGAAACTTGAGTGGATTTCCCTAATTCTCGTCTTCTCAATTACATCTAAGTTGATTGGTTCGACTCCTGTCATAAGCGAGATTTTCACAACACTTTCAATTATCATTTCGTAAAAATTTATTATAATTATTCACCGAAATTCTTTTTCATATGCGACTTCCTTATTTGATGACTTTATCTTGTTGCTAACCCCAAAATTCTATTACCAACACACACACACACACATGCATACACATACGTGCACATAAACACGTTGATTAAAATCATAGTGACCTGATTTTTCAAAATTGCATTCGATTTTCATCGGTAGCTATAATATACATGTATAAATATGCATATTTATACACATATATACGCACAAAGATGGATGCAAACTCAACCACAAGACGTAGTCATATTGTCTCCACTCTTTTTCATCTCTTTGTTTGATGACCTGTGAAATTTCACCATTACAAATTTGTTACTATGCTTAAATTACTATCTGAATAATGTTGGCCAGATAGCTTGAGAAAATGAAATTTCAACATCATCATATGCATAATCACATGCAATGCAAGTAAGTGCATGATAATATGAAGCATATTCAAACTGCCTTTTAGGAGAGATTTACTAAGATTTATGAATTAATTAAAACATTTCCTAATTATGCTTTGAAAAAAGGTTACGTGTTTTGGAAATTCAATTATTTGTGACTATTAGGGCAAAAATACATTCGCTTACTTACACTTGATGTTTGGTCATTTCATTATAAAAATATAAGCAGTAGTAGTGTGGGTAGTAGTAGTAGTAGTAGTAGTAGTAGTAGTGTGGGTAGTAGTAGTAGTAGTGTGAGTAGTAGTATTAGTAGTAGTAGTAGTATTAGTAGTAGTAGTGTGGGTATTATTATTATTATTATTATTATTATTATTATTAGTAGTAGTAGTGTGGGTAGTAGTAGTAGTGTGAGTAGTAGTATTAGTAGTAGTAGTAGTAGTGTGGGTAGTAGTATTAGTATTAGTAGTAGTAGTAGTAGTGTGAGTAGTAGTATTAGTAGTAGTAGTGGTATTAGTATTAGTAGTAGTAGTAGTATTAGTAGTAGTAGTAGTATTAGTAGTAGTAGTAGTATTAGTAGTAGTAGTAGTATTAGTAGTAGTAGTAGTATTAGTAGTAGTAGTAGTAGTAGTGTGAGTAGTAGTAGTAGTAGTGTGAGTAGTAGTAGTAGTAGTAGTGTGAGTAGTAGTAGTAGTAGTGTGAGTAGTAGTAGTAGTAGTAGTGTGAGTAGTAGTAGTAGTGTGGGTAGTAGTAGTAGTAGTAGTAGTAGTAGTAGTAGTAGTAGTATTAGTAGTAGTAGTGGTATTAGTATTAGTAGTAGTAGTAGTATTAGTAGTAGTAGTAGTATTAGTAGTAGTAGTATTAGTAGTAGTAGTAGTATTAGTAGTAGTAGTAGTAGTAGTAGTAGTAGTAGTGTGAGTAGTAGTAGTGTGAGTAGTAGTAGTAGTAGTAATAGTAGTAGTAGTGGCAGTTTTTGTTATACGCGTGTCGCATATACTCCTACATGTAATGGTGAACATGGTATTTATATCTAATGATATCTATGTGTTTGCGGAGGTTCGGCTTATATAATGGAAGAGTAAACATTCGGCACTTTGGTAGAGTAAACTTCGATACTGGATTGTACATTCGATATGGTACACACTGATACTGTATAATTTACGGGATGACCTTTCGAGGAGAATTTATCGCTCACATTCAAATCAAAATAATCATACGATATTTGGACTTCCTTTAGATAGCTCAACGGTTCTTCATTCTTTTATTTTAATGGTAGTAAACTTTTCCAGATATCTGCAGTATGTGATGAATCAGTCCTGTTACATGTGTTAGGTATTGATTCAATGAACAAATATTCTATGATTAATCTCTGCCTCCATCTAGCTAACTAAATTGAATTTTAGATTCATCATCCTATCCCACCCATCATGTAGTGTGATTATAGGCTCAGTGGATGCAGAGTGTTAGTCGAGTTCTTCTCTAAATTATTTATCTTAATAGAGTCTACTGTTGTTTGTCTCGCTAAATCTTTGTTATGTGCTATTCTGACTGACCCAGATCGTCTAATTTGACCTACATACTTGACCTCACAATGATGACATGATATTTCATAGATTAGGTAATTTTTAGTAGCTGACTCTACTGGATCTTTTGGCCTGCAGAGTTTCTCTCCAAGTGAGTTCGCGAGATTAAATGCCCCTCCACCCCCCCTCTAATCACAGCATTTTTAGGATTTCCAATATGCCTTGTTTATACAGCATCACTACAGAGGATTTGAATTCCCTGTTAGACATATTGTGATCACAACTAACATTACAACTCTTTCTCCTATAAGTGCGCATAATATATCTTAATACATTTCAGAGAGTGGTTATTAAGGAGCATTTTAATGTGTCACTTTATTTCAAGTTGTTATTCATCTTAGACTGATATCACTTGGAGGAACAAAGGAAACTTGGGAGCACTGGACAGCTGTTTCGTCCTAGTATGGGACGATTGCTAACAAGTTAGAAATATGGACCATTGGGTTCTGACTCTATGGCTCAATCGTAACGTACTGGCCACGGAACTTGAAGGTTGAGGGTTCGATCCCTAGTGGTGTGGGATCATCGGTGTGCACTGTTGAGGAGTCCCATAGTTGGATGAAACAGCTGTCCAGTGCTCCCAGGTTTCCTTTGTTCCCCTAACTGATGTCAGTCTAAGATGAATAACAACTTGAAATATTTCCAAATTCTCACAACTCCCTCAAAATTCAAATGTCACTTTATATAGGAATTTTAAGGTCAATTAGCACGGAGATGACAGGAAATATTTTTCATTGTATCAGATGGATGATTTTGTTGAAAGCTATCGGGATGGCATTGCATTCTGTGGTTGTGAAACAAAAAGATTACTCGGAATGCTAGTCAATTAACTCAGTTCAAATACAGTATGGTGCTTTCAATAATTGAATAATATATATTTAGCCAGTAAATAAATGCAGAGTACATCAAAGCGTTTACTAAGCATGGTAGAATTTTAAAGTAACATAAATGTATCTCAACAGAAGATGAAGTAGAGATCATAGGGTAAATTATTTATGCACTCCTAACTGGTAGAATAATATGTGACCTTGCAAAGGAGGCTCACTTTGCTTGGAAATAAACTTGTTTGGAACTGGATCGACGATAATATTCACAGTAAAAATATGCCTTCTTTTTATATGATCTTAAATTGTCACGCATCTTCAGTATTACCAACCGAAAAGAGTTTTCAATAAAGATATAGAATATCTTTGATAATAGGGACTTTAAAATGACACTGTTGTTTTGATGCAGTGACAGGTAACTTGAGAAGACATTTCTTGATAAGTGGATACAAATATCTATCTTATCTTACGAACATGAGGAGAGTTACTCAAAGAAACCAATAAATGCACGTAGTTTTATAACACCAACTGATAGAAGTAGGAAATATGAACTTTGAATTCCAGCCCACTAGCTCAATGGAAACGTGCTGACCGTCGAAACTTAAGGACCTGGGTTCCATCTGCGAAGGGTGCGGACATAAGTATGCATCGCTGAGGAGTCCCATTAACCCGTATTATTATTAATATTTGTCCTTGGGTTCCCAGTGGAACATAGAGCTTCAGTAGAACGTCACCATTTCACTATCCTCTCTACAGTATTCCGAACATGGCACCACCACGACTAACAAGCCTTCATTCATCCCTCACACGAACGCCTCCATTTCACCCTCCGCTCCAACACCCAACTCGTCATTTCCCCTTCGGCTTCCACTCGACAACCTGACCTGGCTTCGTCTGGCGTCACCTCGTCTGGTGCGTCATGTCCCCAAACCGTCTTCTCAGTCTATGTACAATCAAATCCATTCCATCTCCACTTTCTCATTCTGCATATTAGTTGGGTGACGGGTGCTTGGTTGGTTGGTTGGTTGGTTGGTTGTCAGTGAGTGAGTGAGTGAGTCAGTCAGTCAGTCAGTGAGTCAGTGAGTCAGCCGACCAGCCAGCCACCTGGCCAGCTGGTCAGCCACAATTCCTTGTCCCTTGTTCCTCCTTCCCTGTTGCTTATTCTTATTCTTATCACCATTCTGGTCATCCATCTGATCAATGTTCAGTATCGAGTGAGAGAGAGAGAGAGAGAGAGAGTAGGTGGAAGCTGTTCATCATGTATGTCAACAGTTTGTTGGGAATGCTTTCCGTATAGTGCCAAATCTCCCAACCATCACTCACACAGAAACACTGACTCACTTGACTGATATTAGTGTTGGAAATCCAGATGTTGTTGACACTTCTTGCTGAGTGTGGTGTGGTGTGGTGTGTAGTGTAGTGTAGTTTGGTGTGTAGTTGTGTGTAGTTTGGTGTGTAGTGTAGTGTAGTGTAGTGTAGTTTGGTGTGTAGTTGTGTGTAGTTTGGTGTGTAGTGTAGTGTAGTGTAGTGTAGTGTAGTGTAGTGTAGTGTAGTGTAGTGTAGTGTAGTGTAGTGTAGTGTAGTGTAGTGTGGTGTAGTGTAGTGCAGTTCATCTCAACACACACTGGTCATTTGGGATTAATGAGGGAAGGTGTATGTTGCTGTCTTTCCGATCGTGGCTGGCTTTCACATCCTCATGTGTGCCACCGATGCCACCTGTAGTTGAGACGATGCTGCCTAGGTGGGTGGGTGGGTAGGTGGGAGAGACAACTTGCTTCAGATTTCTCCTATTGATGTCGATTGGTGTTTGTTGTTGTTGTTGTTGGTGGTAGTGGTGGTGGTTGTGGTTGTGGTTGTGGTAGGTTGGATATCTTCATCACCTCTGTCTTCTCTATGTTCACCTGAAGGGAATGCCGTCTTTCCTGTCTCTTATGACAACTTGTTGGTTTACAAGATCTGTAGATCTTCGAGCTTGTATGACAAGACATTAGACATAAATCATCATTAGCGAAATGCGATTCTTCTAGGGTATTTCCATCGGTTTGCTCAAACAACCTTCACCCATCCTCTAACAGCTCCTCACAGTTGTGTGTTGCATGATCCAGTTCAGTGTAGTCCAGTGGTGTCCAGTCGATCACAGGCGGGAAGATGATTGTTGATAGTAGGCGGCCACCTCATCTTACTCCTGTCTCCACTTCACTTCACTTCACTTCACTTCGAAGGTATCACCACTGAGCTTTCCATTGTGAATCACTCGGTATGTGGCGTCGTCATATAGCATATAGTAAGTGTAGAATGATGTTGAATGGGATTTGTGATAGTAAAACTGTGGTGTAGATGCCAGTGGTTGCCAAATTGCTCCTTTGTCGATGTTGTTGAAAGCCTATTGACTGGCATTCTATATTCTGTTTTATGATGACGCGTAGTGTGGCGTTGAAATTTGATATGCACGTAATTTTTCATTACTGAACCCGGCCATCCAGTCTGTTCCAGTCGTAATTTGTAATGCAGAGCATTTTTCAGTTTCTCTCTCCAGGATGATGTGGCATAATGCTTTGCTTGGTGTGGAGAGGAGAATTATTCTGCGACGATTAGTTCCATAGTTTGACGAAACATTTTTCCCGTGCTCCTATGTTCTAATGTTCCTTCAACTATTATCACTCCATGATGAATACCAACCGTATATTTTTTTTGCATTTGATGTTAAAAGCAGCTAAATACTCATGTATTCAGTTGTAATAAAGATAAATTATATCGTGTTGGTGGTAGTTGTCGGAGTTACTGTGTGTAAACGTTTTGTGAAGAGAGATAATTTATAGTTAGCATATTAAGAATACACAAGGTATGCTGGTAGGCGACGACCATGAACTATTTTGTGGAAGTCAATTTTGAAGGTCACACTGGTCCCGTAATTGTACAATTCATCGGAAAACTTTAGGCGAATCAATAGGTGTATGCCTCTGAGAGCTTTAACTGCAATAACCACTGTCATCTCTCTACAAATCAGAGTATATCGGGTGTGAATTAGCCTTCTGTCTTAGGACCTAAGGAAATCAAGCAGATATATCCGATATTGAGGCGAAACATAACCATCAAAAGGGATCCAAGGAGATGACATCCTGATCTGAAATCAGTTTAAGAAAAACATACAGTAAGTGAATGAGTGAAATTTATAGCATCGTCGTGAGGCAGCGAAGATGGGACTTCAAATGAACATAGAGAAGACAGAGGTGATGAAGATATCCAACCTACTACCACCACCACCACCAGCACCACCAGTTATGGCGTGTGTACTTTTTAAATGAAACTTTTGTTTACTGAATATCAGGTGAACTGTCGATGAATTTGATGATGGATTACTTCAGTTTGGAGGTTTGTGGGAATTTTATGTTTTAAATTTGGTGTTCGACATGGACGTACATCATCTAGCTAACCATTCAATGTCTGAGATCACTAGAAAGCTATGAGGTTCGTCAGCAGTGCTCACCTCCGAGAGCTTTTTCGTTCAGCCACTGAGTCATAACTAAGTTGTCCACATTTCTTGGTTTCTGTCAGTTGGTACGATCTTTATCCATTACCACTTTTAAACAGCTGTGATGACTTTCAACTTGG